CTCACTTTGTGGCTCAGCCCAGGATGGGGTCTTCTTGCTTGCCAAGAGAAGGTAAGGAAAAGCACCAAAACACTGCAAAAACTCAGTACTTGACAAAAAACCAGAAAACCTCCTTCTTCTGCGGAGCTCATCTTTGTTGTCTTCTAACTGGGGCAGAATTTGAAGCATGTTTCCAAGATGCTGTGGGTCTGATCCACTGCCAATCTGCAGATCAGGAAGGATTTTTTTTTCCCCTCAAGGCAAGACTGATAACTCATCTGAGGAGGAGTTTCACCTTTTTTGCATCATTGAGAGATCTAGCTTTTGTGAAGCAATTCTGTTTTACAGCAGATTTCAAGGTTTCAATGGGTACATCTACAGGAGATGACTAATTAGCCGACTTACTAGCTTTGCAGTAAATGTCTCAGCATCTACACATGTGCCCCTATTAGAGTTCAGGTAACTGATAAACTCTGCAGCAGGGCAGTACTTGTAAATACAAGTACTACTCTGCTGACCCTGCTGTGGAGTTTCTTCGTACCCAGCAGTGCAAGTGTAGATGCTGAGCCAGCTGGCTGGGGCATGAGGGTGCTTCAGTGTGGGGGTTTCCTGCCAGATAGCCCCATGTTGACACACCCTTATGCCCCACTCACCCCCTCTGCAGCACACTGAGCCTGGTCAAGGCAGTCCTGGGCTGGCAGACAGACCCCCCAGGCACCCTGCCAGCTGAGGCTGCTCTGGCCTGGCTCAGTGTGCTGCGGTCTGGGCACAAGTATAAATGGCATGCTCAGGAGCTGCTCGGTAGCAATAAACTCCAGGGCAATAAGCCCTGGAGTTTATTGCTGTCCATTAATGACACATGTGCCCAATGCATATTTCCATTATGCACTGGAATAAAAGTATAGTCTTTCAAATGTTTTCCAGTAAACAGAACTGCATTGAAATGTCCATTTTCAGTTTAGGAAGGAGGGGGGGAATGTGATAAAGAATGTGTGTATTGGAGAGAAACTGACTGTTAAACTGGAATGAGGAGGTCTCAAGTTCAAGTCCCAAGGAAATATTACTGAAAAGTAAATAGATGTTTATTATTCCAGTATTACCATAATTTTGTACATTTGAGACAAATGTATGCCTTTGATCTAATAAGCAGCCTGTCAGAACTGTTATAGCCTGTAGTTTCAAAGGCAGAATTTTTCTGACAAAGTAATATGTCAAATAATTATGTGACTCTGATGTTAAAATCTGAATTTACCCACAAAAAGTGATATATACAGATCAATTGTTAGGGTGCTCTTGCAGATATCATATCTGATATACATTGTGTTGGGACCTATCTGATATAAATTGCCTGAATTCAAGGGAATTTTGCTGATTCAAACCCTAACATTCTCTTCACTAATTATTTAAGTGATTTCAGAACTGTATCTTCTGACTGTACTAAACAATACATGGCACCGGCATATTACTGCACCTGTACACACAGCAGATGTCCTGACTTTCTGCAACTGTTAGTGAATGTTTAAAGTAACCTTTCTTTCCAGCAGGTGCTTCCATTTTACTGCAAAGTTCTTCTTGGTGTTCCATTTTGCAGATCCCTCCCAGTTGTCTGTGCTTCATATTCAATACACTGAATTTATACACAGATCAACAGGAGTACTGTGTGTGAAAAGAGCATCAAACAGCTGCAAAAAGCACTTAAGCAGGTATTACTAGGGTTACCATACGTCCAGGTTTTCCCACACATGTCCTCTTTTTGGATCCTGCAATCTTGGTCCAGGCAGTTTTTTGAAACAGCAACAAATGTCTGGGATTTTGCTCTGCTCCGCTAATGGGAGTGGGGGGATGATGATTGGAGGTAGGGGCATAACATGCATCTGCACATGCACACACATGTGGATAACATGCAGACAGACAAGGGGGTGGGAGAAACCTCGATAGCTGGATGTATGAGGGCCAGGGTTTGGGGACTGCCTGGGGTACAAGGGTGTGTGTGTGTGTGTGTGTGTGTGTGTGTGTGTGTGTGTGTGTGCACATGCATGTGTGGCAGGGTGCATGGAGGAGATGGGTGTGGGGGGAGTACCTGGCAGTGTGACAGCTCCTTGGCTGTGCTGCCAGCACAGGGGTCAGTGCCCATGGTCACTGGGGCAGAGCAGCTAGGAGATGCTTCCCAGGGCGGGAGCGGGGAATGACTGGGCCGCCTGGTACAGTGCTGGAGCCCCAGCCCAGGGCGGAGGGTGCCACAGCCTCCATTCATCTTCCCTCCCAGCTATGTTAGAGCCAGACTCACTCAGCCACTGCCTGTACGAATCGCAGTCGCTGTGTTCTGGCTAGGCAGGAATGGGGGCAGCTGGGGCCCTTTCCAGCAGGGCTGGGGGGGAGCAGGGGGCTGCTGGTCAGGAGTAAGAGGCACTGGCAGGGCTGGGTGGGGCTGTGGCTTGGGAGTGATGGCATGTAGGGGTGGGGGGCTTGTGGGTCAGGAGTGTGGGGCACTTGCAGTGCTAAGCAGATGCAGGTCAGGAGTGAGAAGCACCAGCAGGGCCAGAGGTCTGTGGGTCAGGAGTGAGGGGCAGCAGTAGGGATGACACTGGCAGGGTCAGGGGGCTGTGGACTGGGGAGTGAGAGGTCCCCTCGACAGGTGTCCTCTTTTTTGCAACTGGAAATATGGTAACCCTAAATTCTACTGAACTCACAGAAAAAGAGTAAATTGGAAGTGAGTTGGAAAATAGCTCCTACCCAAGCGCGCACAGATTCAGAAATTCAGATTCAGAATGCACTTCCTTCTTGAATCATTGGGATGTACATGACCGCCATCTTGCCCTATGGCTTTTATTTGGGGGAAAAATGCAGGGAGTAGTAAGCCAAGGCTAAAATTGAGCTATGCCAAATGTATGGCTGCAGAGCTGGTTTGCCAAAAAATGCAATTTCAGGTCAATGAATGCTGTTCACAAAATCATGTCAAGTTCAGCAAACAGAAAAAAGGCAAAAATCATTTTCTAAACAATATGTTTGCATGTATGTGTTTTCTTTCACTTTAAAATTTAGCTAAATCAAATAAAAAAGGTAAGAAAAAATGCAACTTGAAAGTAAACAAAACATTTTGCCGCAGGTGAATAGAACATTTAGTTCAACCCAAAACAGCCTATGCCCAGGGTTTTTTTTTTTGTTTCATTGACAAAACAGCTCTAAATGAAGTTTTCATTCTATTTTCCTATTTTGTAACTCACCAAACAGATCAATTCTTTGCGCTGTTCTAGACTGAAGGTGGCAGCACAGCTGCAGAAGCAGATTAAACACTACATGACAAACACTGATAACATTTTCTATAGATCTGACTAGAGTGTTCCTGCCCTCAGATGACTGACTATTTGCTCCACTACCCTCCCAACTAGTCTCATAGGACATGTCCAGATAAGCACAGAAATGCAGTATGTGACACTGCAGACCCATCTGCAGCACCACAAAGCTCACATGCAGGTGTTCCCCGCAATGCTATTTTGCAGCACAGGGTTTTTTTGACCCCAGGAAATCCTGGGGTTGAAAAAAACCCTGCCAAAAAAAATCAGGGCAGTGCACATGGCAGCAGGGCATGCCACCCAAAACTGGAGCCTAGCTGGCCATATCCACACTCCAGCTGCTGACCAGGCTTCCTGATGCAGGAGTGCTGCAGCTGCAGTTCCCAGATCCTGAAAGTTACCCCAAGATCCTAGGTAAGGCTGCTGGGGCCAGTACAGTTGCTGGTCCCAGCCTTCCCTACTTGACCTGGGGTAACTTGCCACATACCAGAGCATGAATGGCATGGGTGTTCCCTGGGGACAAGTAGCATGGACACAAGGTGTGCTGCTGCTACTTGTCCATGGGGAAACACATTCCCACTGGTCTGGATGCACCCGTAGTGACCCAACTCAGCCTCACTCCACTCCTTCACCTCAGACCTTCCCTCCTGAGCTGATACCTTCACCTTTTATTTCCTTCCCTTCAGTTTTGCAAGCTAAGTAAACTCCTCCTGAAAACTCTGCAGCACTATCATGATATTTGCTGCCACTGTTACATTGATTCTCTCACCCTGCAAGCTCCTATCCTTTTTCCCAATCCATCAGTTTGTGGTCTTGGACAATGAACTCTTTACGTCAAGAACTGTCTACTATTTTGTTTGTACATTGACTAGCCTAATGAGACCCCAATCTAGGTTTGTCTATAAACATAAATAATAATGATAATAAAAGGTTATAAATAGATTATTCTGTAGAGTTGAACAGAAAGGAAAAATCATTTGTGCCATAAAACAGATACCTGCCAAACTTAAAAGGAGAGAATGAAAAGAACTCCAGAATAAACTATATGATTTTAGGGGTAACTTAATTGTTTGTATATTATAGTAGACATCTTTTTTTTTTCTTTTTTAACCTGCCCATGTAAGACTTTTGACTCTGCAACATGTCTGGTAATCTGTAGTTATTCTTGTGGCTTCTCTCCTTAACAAAAGGAGTCTGCTAAGACTTAAATAATCAGCTTGCAATGCTTTGAAAATTTTGAGGATGATAAAATGACTTTCTACATCATAAAGAACAAAAGAATATTTTACTCATGACATAGTAATAATCTTAGTCATAAGACCCTTGATGGAAAATGGAAATGTGACCTTCTGCCTTATATGGGCTTTTTATACAATTTTTTGAGCCATTCAGCTTGCAAGAACAGGATGTAGTTTCTTTGACTACCAGATAGTATAGCAGTGGTGGGGGAAATATTGCCCAGATTTGGCCTACCAACTGATTGCATCTGGCACATTGGCAGGCACCCACCAATTGGATCTGGCTCATGGCCACCACTGAGCTGCTCTTCATGGGGTGGAGCTCCACCTGCTTTCAAGTGGGGCAACTCATATCATACTCCCACCAGCCCCAGCCAGTGCACACAGCTTCCCAGCAGGGCTGCTCCCAATGTGGTTGCAGCCACCTAGGCTCCCCATTCTTCCAGTGGCTCCTCCTCCTGCCCCTGCTATGCCACTTTGACCAGCAGGCAGTGCGGGGAAGTGACAGTGGCCATGGGGATGCACTGGGCACCAGATCCCCAGCCAGGTGCAGGGGAGCTGCAGCTGAGTGGTTACTGCCCCAGTGCACAGGGCTCAAGCTCCAGCTCCCAGCTGCTTTTCACCCACTTGCAACTCAAAGGTGCTCATTGCACTGGATGGGCAGAGTGGGTGGAAAGTGCCCAGGAGCTGGAGCCCCATGCACTGGGGCAGGAGCCACCTAACTGCAGTCCCCCCACACCTTTCTCTCCCCCCAGAGCAATTCAGCAGGGGCACAAGGAGGAGGAGCCACTGGAGGCAGGATGAGCCAAGCAGTACCTGGATGGCTGCAGCTGCACTGGAATCGGCCCCAGCAAGAAGCTGTGCATGCTGGTCAGGGGCAGGACAGGGACTGTCTAGCAGATATGGGTGGGAGCATGGTGTGGCTGCACCAGGTGGGAGCGGGTAGGCTTTGGCCCTATGCAGAATGCCATGGGGGCAGCCATAAAACAAACGGAGGGGCACAGACTGCACATGAACCTGCACCACTCTGGCAAGTTTGGCTAAATACGAGTCCTGCCCCACCCCCAGTCGGCTCCCAGGTCCTAGCACACTGGCAGCCCACACCCCCACATGAACAACCTCACAGCCCCAACACACACACTCCTTCACACACACCCACAGGCACACTTTCTCCCTGCAAAGGAACACCCACACACTCAACCCCCCTATACAATATAAAAGAGCTAGCCTTTATTTTGAGTTATTGTGCAATTGCCTCTATATATACACCCAACTAAAAAAAAAACCATAAAACAGGACATTTTTTAAAATAAAATTAAAATATGTTATAGTACGTTTGATTTTTACTGTATGATTTGTTTTTATTTACAATTCTGAAAGATTTTGTGTGTGTGGCTCTCAGCAGCTCACCAAAACTCATTAAGTGTCCCTCCATCTGAAATCATTGCCCACCCCTGTGGTACACCATAAGCAAAAAAAAAAAGGGTGTGATTTTTCTGAATGATCTTGTCCTGGTTTGTTTGCCACTCACTGCCCTGTGAAATTTATGGTAGACTACTACTGCTTTCTTTGGGATAGACAGGATAGACAGGATTTGTGCATAAGAAAAGAGAGGAAAGGATAATTTCTTATGAATGATAGAACAAAAAGCTGACTTTGTATATACAGAAGATCCAGATGGAGAACTAAAAGGTCCTGGGCAACACTGGCACCCAAGTTTGCAGCTTTTCTATAAAGTAATCAGGCCATTATGCTAAGGGAGAAATTTCTTCAGCACAAACCAGCTGAATCTATTATAATTTATGCAGACTGAATTGTATTCTCCACATGCTCAAAACAAAGCTTATTCTTAAGCTTCTCAGTGATAAGGCAATAAACTAAAAAACCTAGTGTGTGTACAAGAGGAAAAAGTGTCAGCTTTTTCATTTAGTTTTCTCAGAATCGCAATTTTCTAGAAAGCAATGCATCTCAAACTAATGTTAGAGAAATCTATAATACCCTACATATTCTTAATGGAAAAGAGAATGCAAAAACTGTGTTGGTGAGATGTCAATGTAGCACTGCCATCACTACAAAGACTCAGGAAATGCAAGATTTTGGCTCTTTATTGGCTTTCTCAGACTACACAACAAAAAACTCATTAGTTTTGTTGTTTCCTAGTCAGTACTATGAAGAAACATAATGAAAAGGAAGCCCTGAAATAATTTGGGTTTCATTTGTGACCTGTATTTATCTCCTCCTTGCTCTTTTTGCTTCTCCCTTCCCTGTGTTTACTGCTGCTGTCCGTGGTGTTATCTGTTATTTGAAGAAGAGATATTTAACCTTACTTTTTAAAATGAGATTAGAATGGGTAAGCATGGGCTCCACAACTTTTTGTTATGTACCACAAAGCCTAAGCAGAAAAATCACTTTAATTCCTTCTGGGACACCCTTTGTGATATTACACAACACAGTTGCAGCTCTCTTCAAAAATAAAAATAAAAATAAAAATCAAAGATGATAATACAATGAAAAAATTGGAAGAATTTGCTTAACATATAATATTTGCATACTTTCTGAAGCCTGGTGAGTTAGGTTGCCTTTAGCTTTGCTACAGAGGTAAAAGGAAAAATACTATTTCTTTACAAAGTTACTCCCTTCTCTCACCCCATCCAGTTCAGTGTGACATAAGTACCTCTCTCTTTGCTCAGACAACTTCCCTTGTCCTAATGAATTGACTTCATACATCCTGCAATGTAGGGCAGCTCCTTATATTAAGAGCTTCATCATCATCATTTTACCAGACAGTTTTTCCAAATAGCTTTTTGAAGATAAATATGCCAACTATAGACTGGTGAGCATTTGTATTTCTCCAACTGCTTGGGGACTATTAAATGCCAGGAAGAAGTTCATCTTAGTCTCAAAGTTAGCTACTTAGCTGTCTGTTTCAAGCTGTGGTTGAACATTTTGCCTAGCTGTATCCAGGTCTTCAAAACAGATAGAATGGATTTCCTTGTGTAGTCCTTATACTTATCTACCTTTGTTCTGAAATATAAATGACAGGCTACATGACCTCCCTCATAACTTTCCACACACACACACACACACACACACACACACACACATATACATATATGTATACATATATACACATCTATCCATCTATCCATATAGATCTATCGATCAATAGATAGATATCTATATCTATATCTATATCTGCACACAAACACACATATATATGTATATACCATATGTACAAGATAAGGTTTTTTACCCCAATCAGCATGAGAAAAAATGCCTCTCATCTTACCTTCACATATAAGGAAGCCTCATTGAATACAATGGCCATCTTGGAACTGCTGCTAAAGGCATCATGTGCTTAGTAATGGAAACCAACTATGAAGGTGATTAAATGCAGCCAACAGTGAGCATGGCTACATGGCCCATATTGGGCAAAAAAAGATGGGAACTTACCACTCTTTTTTGTTTGCTTTTGAAATTTCATGTCTCAGCCCAAATCATCCAAATCAGTTCTGAAATCTATCAGCTGAGTACAGCTCAATCTTTGAAGTTTGTGTGGCACTACCATTGGCAAGTATGTTACCTCTCAGACTCTTCAGCCTGGGGCTTCACACACTTCCAAACCCCTGACTGGCATCCTACCACAATGCTAAGTTAGTGCAAATCACCTGTATAAGATATATGGTAGTGACCATTGAGCACAGTCCCACTCAGCAATGACTCTTTTTCAAGTCATGCTGAGTCACCACACTGAATACATCTGAACTTCTTCTTCACTCCCATAGCTGAGTTATGTCTTCCTTTCCTATTTCCAATGATTCCTATTTCTTCAACAACTTTAAGTGCCTGGCAAGCATCATTAAACAGTTCACCAGAATACCTCTCTCAAACTGTCATATGATTAATGTGGCCCCACCTTCCATGAGGTGCAGCTGGACCAGGTTGCCCTGTGCATCATCTGCATGTACTTTTGTGGAGCATCACAGAGGACTCATAACAAGAACACCCAGTTCCAATCATGAGATGGGAGCTAATTAATACATGGATCCTTTGTGGAGGGGTATCTGGAGTATACACACATACTGAGCAGTACTGAGCTGTGGAGTCACCATGGCTTGAAATGTTGACTCTGTGAGGCCCAGCTCAAGGAACTGTATAATAAAACATGAACCTTTTGACTTTGGACTAATATCAGGCAGTTTGTATTATATATAAGTAGATGCCAATGTGCTGCTTAAAAGTGTGTTTATGGAGTACCCGGGCTAAAACTTGCAGCAGTTTCAAAAAAAGGTGAATTGTACCATTTTGGGATGAATTAAGTCTACGGGTACTGTATGCAAATGGCTACAGCTATGTTTATTTCAAGGTCATTTTTTCAAATTTGCTCCTCATTTCCATGTGTTCAGGAAAAACACAGCCTGACACTAAGGAATCGTGGAGGGAGCTGCAGTGAGAAATTGATAGAGGCATAGGGCAAATGGGCTACCTGTCTCCCATATCTATTTTCCCTGATGTACCAGTGGCAGGGGGACAAATTCAAGACAAACCTCAAATAATTAGATTACATATCTGGCAAATCATATGGCAGGCAAGGTTCTTTGAGAAGATGTGATATCTTTTATTAGACCAATTAAATAGTCTAATAAGAGATATCACATCTAGCCAAAGAACTTTGCCTGCCTATGTTTTTTGACCAATACAATATGGCTGTGCAAAGCTTTGGGTGCTGATTCCATTTGGAGGAAATTTGGCTCGATTTGGTGGCTGAATTTCCAAAACCAAATCGAATCAGGGGACCATTAAAAAGGTCTAAATTGATTCGGGCTTCAATGATTCGGGCAGTCCCGACCTGCTGCAGCAGGGAGCTGGAGCTGGACTTAGAGCTGGTAAGTAGGGGGTGGGGGAGGGCAGCCCTCCCATGGCTGCCTCGCCCACCCGAGCTCCGGGGGTTAAAAAAAAAGCCCCTACTCACCGGGTGCTGCCGTGTGGGGGGAGGTGATCCCTGCTGCCCCCCACTACCCCACACTGTGTTGGGAGCTCTGCACAAGCCCCCCAACCCTGCCACTCCCCAAGCTCCCCCCCCGCCCATGGCTGCCCCACTCAGCCCCAGCTCCGGCCTTTTAAGAAAAAAACCTGAAAAAACCCGGGGCTCACCAGCTCCTGCAGCAGCCTCAGGGCTTCGGGGGGCTTGTGGAAGAGCCTCACACATGGCATGGGGCAGTAGAGATAACCCCCCTTCAGGCAGGAACTGGTGAATCTGGGGCAGGTGGGGAGCCATGGGGAGGGCTGGGAGAGTGGGGACAGCATGGGGCAGTGGGAATCACCCCCCATCACCTGGCAACATCTGGTGAGTTAGGGCTTTTTTTTTTCAAAGTGCTGGGAGCTGGGGGAGTCAGGGCAGCCATTGCTGCGGCTGGGAGAGCAGGCAGGAGATGGACCTGTGTGAATCAATTCAGGACAGTGATTCAAATCATCGAATCGAATCACTGTCCCCTGAATCAGTCAAATCCAAATCCAAAGGGTATACTAGCCACTTTGCAAAGGCCTACAAAACACCTACAACCAACAACCCTGGAAAATTATATCAAATTTATAAATTTACCGTATACAGAATTG